AAAAATCTTGTGGCGGAAGGAAGGCTTAATTCCCTTAATTTTTCAGACTTGAGTGGTTATGTTAATTACATTAAGGGAAAACAAACAAACATAAGGAGATTAGGTGACAATAGGATTTCAGACGTCTTCGAACTAATTCATGCGGATATCTGTAGGCCATTCAATTCAACTTCTTAGAATGATCAACAATAATTTATTATGTTCATATACGAATTTTTCTCACAATTGCTACCTATATCTCATCTATGAAAAATCTCAAACACTAGACATGTTCAAGACATACAAGATTGAGGTTGAAAAACAACTCTATAAAAGAATTTAACAAGTCAGATCTTACCATAGTGGTGAATACTATGACAGATATGACGAACAATGTCTAGGACCTTTTGTTAAATTCCTAGATAAGTGTAGAATCGTCCCATAGTACATTAGAATCTCTCTCAATAGAAGCACTAAAAACTGCAGTTTCAATTCTCAACAAAGTTCTAAGTAAAGCAATTGTTAAGAGGTTACAAATTTTTTTTCCACTATTAGGTCAATTTTCTAAACAAAAATGTCTGATTTCTTGAAGATGTAGAGTTTACGATGGGAGATAAGGTTATAGGGTTAAGAATTTTGTCTTGGAGGAAGATTATGTATATATTTCTTTTGTTGCAATTGACAATGATCAGGACCAGTAACAAATTCTTGCTTTAGATCTTGTTCAAGAAGTAATTTCGAATCAAAACAATATTACAAAATCTTCTATATATAAGTGAGAGTTGTTACAGAAAAACAAGCTGAACAACCTCAAAAACAAATGACATTAAGGAAATCCACTATAAAATGGAGAAAAATGATTTCGAATAACTTTATAGTCTTTCTCCAAGAAAATAAAGATGTCATGAATTGAGGAATAAAAACTGATCAATCAACTTTCATCAAACCATGCAAAAAAATAATTCTAAAGAATGGATTGATGTCATGCATAAACAGATAAAGTTCATAAGTAACAATGACGTTTGGGAACTCATCATATTACCTGAATGTGTGAAACTCATTGGTTGTAATTGGATATTTAAAATCAAGAGAGATTCGAGTGGTGATGTGGAGAGATATGAGGCTCGTCTTGTTGCAAATGGCTTTACTCAAAATGAAGACATTGACATTAAAGAGACTTTTTCTCTGATTTCTATGAAAGATTTTTTAGG